TTCACCAGCAGCCCCTCCAAGCCAGTCACGTCAAAGCCCTCTGTAGCGCAGGACCAAACTGTATTTCTCCCTTTAAAAGTCAAGAGGCTGAACTCGGAGACCTGGCGCCCAAACTTCTGCTACACTATTCTCCAAAGGTGAGCTGACTTTATAGGTCAATGTAAACTAGGGCTGAGCTATATAAAATGATGCACAATAATAATATATTTACCTTAATGGCCTGCGTTGCTCCCAGTCTTGGAACAGTTGACTTTGTTAACCCCTGAGTTGCATCACGTGGACCCCTCGGGGTCAGAGTTCAGCACCCCTGACTCAGCCACACCCGCTGATGGAGACTGGGTCATACTGCCCTCAAACAGAGCGTCAGGTGAGCACACGCTCTTTATAAGTAACTCAAACTATTAAAAACGTTTTTTTTTTTATAGAAATAATGCTAAAATAAAATATAAATATTACATGAAAAACTTCAATTTCTAATTAATCACAATTCATTTTTGTAATTTAATTTAAATTTAATTGCTAAAAAAGTTTCATTACTAAAATAGCTAAAACTGAAATAAATCTAAATTAAAGTGAAACAGAAATATAAAAATAGTAAAAATGACAAAAGCACATAACAAAATGACTAAAATTAAAATAAAAAGTGAAAATATAAAAAGTAAAAGATCTTTTGCATCTCAAGGGTCTCATCGCCTGCTCCTTTTCTGTATTTATGATTCAATTTATGACTGTTAAAATTGTTTGCATGAATAGAAATAAAGCTGAAATAAAAAAAATATATATATTAAATGTCAAACTCTAAAAAAAAAAAATAAATGAAAAAAGGTTTAAATTATTATTATTATTACTATATAAAGTACTAACGTTAATCAAACTGAAATAAATATAATTGAAGTAGAAACATTGTAAATATGTAAATAGTAAAAAAGACAAAAGCACATAAAATGACTAAAATTAATATTAAAAGTAATAGCTAATTAAAAATATGAATAAATAATATATAAATAAGACTACAATAACCATGTTGTTTGCTTGTTGTGTGACTGATCTTTTGCATCTTAAAGATGTCGCTGCCTGCCTCTTTCCTGTATTTTTGATTAATACGTCTTAATAATGTTGCAATATGATGTTTGTGAACATTTATTAATCAGAGGCCAGACTGGAGAAGAATCTCGTGGCAACGTTCTTGCTGGTGATCAAGCATTTCCTGCAGAGGCATCCTATAAACCAGGAAACCCTTCTGCACTCCCACGCTGTGGCCACGTTAGGAGCTCTGCTGCAGAAGGTACCCATAGTTCTCTTTCCTTTGGTTCCTCAGTCCTTCACTGTGTATGTCTTCATTCGCTGTCTGTGTGTGTGATATTATATTATATTATATTGTATTATATTATATTATATTATATTTATTATATATTTTTAAATTTTATTTGAAGAAAATACATATATATTCTTCTGTAGAAGCATCAAGTTATTGTGATTTCAAATAAAAAAAAATGTAATCATGTGTAAATCTCTGGACTACCCATAATCTGGAAGACGGATTTCAAAACTCTGAAATCCCTATGAAGAAAATGAATGGGAAAAATCCTTCCAGAGCCTTTTGCTCTGTTCACTCTCCCAGTTTTTTGTGGCTCTTATACTTTTGCGCTGATCTTGATGTATTTTTCACGGTGAAGGTCACATCCAGTACATGTCCACCATCATCAAAGACAGCAGGAAGCAGTTCAGGAAGAAATATGGAGTGCAGTTCCTGCTGGACACAGTTCGCCTTTATTATGGGTTAGACTACATCTCCCACAATCCCTTTATCACCTCACAGCTGTTCTACCTCTTTCTCTCTCCATCAAGTCAGTCTCCATCAAATCTGTTCTCTCTTTCCTTTCTAGTTCTGGAAGTAAAGATGCAGATTTGAGTGAGGACGACATCAAGACAATCAGAGCTTCTCTCTGTGGCCTTCTGAAGTATTACATCAGCAAGGGAACCACCCAAGAGGAGATCCAGAGCATTCTGGGATACATCGCTGCCATTGGAGATGAGGAACAGGTGAGAAGAGGAAGATGCAGTTTCTCATAATTTACTGCTGTGAATTTTCAGCATCATTACTCCAGTCTTCAGTGTCACACGATTCTTCAGAAATCATCTTAATATGCTGATTTGCTGCTCAAGAAACATTTCTGATTATTATCAATGTTGAAAACAGTGCTGCTTAATTTTTTGGGGGGGAAACCATTATACATTTTTAAGGTTTGTTTGATTAGAAGAAAGTTCAAAAATAGCATGTGTTAGAAATATAAATATTTTGTAACATTATACGAAAGATTACTGTCCCTTTCTGGCCGTACTGGTTTATTTAATACTAAAAAGAGTGTACTTTATCATCACCACCGCAGTGCATTGTTCATTATTTACAACTATTTACAAAGTTAGCAAGGTATTCATTCATTTAAGTTTAAATTAAGTTGCAAGACTAAATTTCAGGGAATTTTTAAATAGTTTTTCAGTATTTGCACTAGTTGGTTTATCAATTTTTTGTTTTTCTTGAGCATTATTTTAGCTTTAATGTTCATGTTCATAATTCTGCATTTAAATCACATTTCAAAAATGTTTAAACAGAAATATGCTGTCAGCCTGATTGCACAAGGCTGCCTTAACACCGACTAGTTGTTCAGAGTCAGTCTAGTTTTTTTGTTTTAAAACGTGCTATTTTGCACATTCTATATGGTGATAAGGTAATGTCTGAGTGTGTGTGTGTGTGTGTCTAGGAAAGAAGCACTCTCCTTTATTGTTATTGATTTGCCCTTTCTAATCAGTAGAGCAAGCGTCCTCTGTCTTTCTCCATTTGAATTATTCCTAAACCTCAATGTGCTTAACCGCAAACCGGATTTACTGCCCTGCCAATTCATTTAATCTCTGTCTCTTCCGGTTTCTCCTGCTCTTATCACTTATTAGCAATAAACATGAACTAAACATGGAATAGAAATCAGTGTCTGTGCTGTTGCAGCTGTGTGGGATCCTGGAGCTGCTGTTGACTCTTCTGCAGACCAGCACGGCGCGGGACCAGCTCTTCCTGCTGCTGTTTGAACCGGGAGCAGCCGACTCCTGCTACGCTCTGCTGCTCAACAACAAACACTCCGACCGCCTCCGAGAGCTCGTCTTCAAGGTGCGCTTTATACTCTGAGGAGCTTCTCTAAAGCAACTTCCGTCAGTTAGAGATCTGAAAAAGCGACAGCTTTAAGGAATAGTTTGCATAAAAATGAGAATTTGCTGAAAATGTCCTCACTCTCAGGCCATTCAAGATGTAGATGAGTTTGTTTCGTCATGGGAACAGATTTGGAGAACTTGCTCACCAGTGGGTCCTCTGCAGTGAATGGGTGCCGTCAGAATGAGAGTCCAAACAGCTGATAAAAACATCACAATAATCCACAAGTAATCCACACCACTCCAGTCCATCAGTTAATATCTTGTGAAGTGAAAAGCTGCGTTTTTGTAAGAAATAATACATCAAGTTGTTTTTAACTTCAAACCAGCTAAAATACGAGTCTTCTATCTATAATATTGCTTTCTCCGGTCTGAATCAGGAGAGAAATATGCACAAGCCAAGACAGTCTAAAACAAATATTGTGATGTTTTTATCAGCTGTTTGGACACCTTAGCAACTGCACTGCAGCAGTAAATGTAAAATTGTAGTTGCGTAATGAGCTTAATATTTACTTATTATTCACTCTAATAATTTGAAAAGTCACAATAACTATATTTTGATATATATTCATATTAGAATGCTCATTAAGTATAAATTTGCTTTATGTAATGCCCTTATGCATTATAAAATATTTGATAATGACCGTGTTAAATTAAAATGAAATGTCGAATCTTTGTCAAATGCATGTGCTATGAGTGTGTATGTGGTTGTGTGTTTCTGCAGCTGTTTGAGCGGATGCTGAAGTGTGACCGTGTGTATGAGAAGAGCAAACAGAGGTTGCGCTTGAGGGATGTGGGATACTCTGGCCTCAGTCTGCTGTTTTCAGACCTGCACCTCACCTCCACCCTCATCAAGTGCCTCCTTCACCAAGTGCTGTCTACTGGTCAGTCTGATGAAAAGCCACCCGACCCAGCACATACAGTACACTATTAAAGGCATAGTCCCTCCAAATATGAAAATTCATATCATTTATTGAAACCCGTAGGAGTTGCTTTCTTCTGGGGAACATAAAATACGATTTTTTTTTTTGAAGTATGTTGGTAAACAAACAATTTCTCGTTCCCACTGACTTCCATTTTATTATTTTCTTGTCCATACAATGGAAGTCAAGGGGAGCCGAAACTGTTTGCTTACCAACTGAGGTTTGAGTTAATTTTCATGTTTGGCTGGACTATTTAATAATGATATATTTATAAGGATTTTGGTGGAAATCAAAATGGTGGAAAAAATATCAAAATAGATGACATATTTTCAAAGCAAATGCATAATGTCGAATATCAGCTGAAAAATTTATATAATATATATATATGTGAGCATATAGGAGCACAAAACCAAGTCATAAGTCGCACAGGTATATTTGTAGCAATAGCCAAAAAAACATTGTATGGGTCAAAATGATAGATTTTTCTTTTATGCCAAAAATCATTAGGCTATTAAGTAAAGATCATGCTCCATGAAGATATTTTGTAAATTTCCTACCGTAAATGTATCAAAACATAATTCTTGATTAGTAATATGCATTGCTAAGAACTTCATTTGGACAACTTTAAAGGCAATTTTCTCTGTGTTTATAGTTTTTTTGCTCCCTCAGATTCTAGATTTTCAAATAGTTGTATCTCAACCAAATATTGTGCTATCCTAACAAACCATACATCAATGGAAAGCTTATTTATTCAGAAAAAATTGACCCTTATGACTGGTTTTGTGGTACAGGGTCACATATATATAAAAAAAATTGTAATCATTGTTATTATTTCTCTCTCTGTCTCTCTTGCTCTCTCTATGTAATCTGAGTGTAATTTCAGTATCATTAAGATACTAGTTTTTATGAAATATAGTTTTTATTAATATCTTGAATTGGTTTTTATTTCTATATAGTTTGTGTATTTTTTTTATTCTCTTTTTTTATGTAGTTTTCATTAATTTTATTTCTGTTTCAGGTATTTTAGTACATCAAGAAAAAAATGTGGCCTTGGAAATTTAAATGAATCTAAATCTAAATAAATATGGTTTTTATATTACATTAGTATAATATTTATATTGTATGTTTTTTATTTTATTTCAGGTAACAAAAATTGTTTAGTTTTAATTAAGCATATCCCTTATATTAAAACACCATCCGTTGATGAGGCCACACTGAATTTGTGATGTCAAATGTTTTTCCATAATAAACCCTCCTTTTTTAATCTCTTTGTCCTCTAGATACTGTTATAAACTATAAAGATCTGATGGCTGTGGTTCTGCTGACCCATAAAGCCGGGCCCAGCATTCGCCTGACTGTATGCAAGAGGGTGAGTGCATTTATCACATTAATACACAACAGTTATTAGTGCTAACAAAAACAAAAAACTTGGTTAAACGTGTTTTAAGGAATAGCTCAGAAAGGAAAAGTGTCACTCAAAACATGCAACATGCATTTTTTTTTTCTGTGGAGCACAAAAGGTGTTGCTTTGTGTGAAGAAAAGGCCAAAATGTAAATAATTTAAAAAAATATCTTACATACATGGGACATAATTTTCAATTTTGGGTGAACTTTCCCTTTAACTAATATAAAATAGTGTTTGCACAAAAAAAATAAAAAATTTAACTGTGCACTAAATGAAATAAAATGATGTCCTGTCATGTTTTCAGCCTATATGCTTCTCTTATTTCCTGCAGCTGTATGCGCTGCTGCAGTCTCAGCAGGATGCAGCGCTGCAGATCTCCAGGCAGACGTGTTGGCAGGGCACTCTAATGAGTTTGTTTGTCCGGAGCCCTGGGAGCGACGGAGGTTCTGGTTCGGGCCGTGGTGACGCGGCCAGTCTGGGGAGTTTCGAGCTGAGCCGCAGCAGTGGAGGAAACCGCCTGGAGCCTCCTCTGGAGCGCAGGCCTCTGGGAGACAGTGTGGGGAGGCTTGAGGAGCGAGACAGCGCCTCAGACAGCAGGTCCATAGACAGCCTGGACAACGGAGAGCTGATGTCCCTCTCCGAAACACCAGGGGACGTGCCCACACCCAAAGCCTGGGGCAGGAAAGCTGGGGTCTTGAGTTTGGACCTGTCCCAGCTGCATCTGTTCGATCACGGGGACAGCGGCAGTCATACTCCGGGCAGCATGCCGAGCACACCGTCTCCTCTGGAGAACGCAAAGCCCTTTCCTGGAGCTTCCTCTCTGAATGATGACAGCTTCCTGTTTAGTGACAATGTGTCCCTGGGAGAGTCTTTTAACAGTGAGGTGAGACCAAAGATCTGATGTGTGTTTCAGTGGAACAGGCAGTGACATTTGTGACCCTGGACCACAAAACCAGTCATAAGTAGCATGGGTATATTTGTAGCAATAGCCAAAAATACATTGTATGGGTCAAAATTATAGATTTTTTTTTAATGCTAAAAATCATTAGGACATTAAGTAAAGATCATGTTCCACGAAGATATTTTGTAAATTTCCTTCTGTAAATACATCAAAACGTAATTTTTGATTAGTAATAATATGCATTGCTAAGAACTTAATTTGGACAACTTTAAAGGCGATTTTCTCAATATTTAGATTTTTTTGCACCCTCAGATTCCAGATGTTCAAATAGTTGTATCTCGGCCAAATATTGTCCTATCCTAATAAACCATACATCAATGGAAAGCTTATTTATTCAGCTTTGAGATGGTGTCTAAATCTCAATTTTAAAAAAATTGACCCTTATGACTGGTTTTGTGGCCCAGGGTCACATTTATCACTTCCTTTATCATACTAATTATTTTGTTATTTTTCATGTTCTTAACAAGAAGTACCTGATAATATTAATACTATAATGAAGGTGTTAAGTGACTCTAAAATATAATTTATAGATGATCCACATTTAAAGGCATTATAAAATGCTTATTATCTGTGACCGCACATATATTATATATTTATACAAAAATCGCAGCTTTTGTGGTAAAAAAAACCCCACATCTTATTGTTTTAGCAAACAAAAGCAATAGCAATCATAATTTCACTACTCTTTAAAATGAATATATTTATATTTGGCAAGGAAGCATTAAATTGATCAAAAGTGACAGTAAAGACATTTATAATGTTACAAAATATTTGTTTCAAATAAATGCTGTGAATACTTTGTATTCATCTAAGAATTCTGAAAAAAAGTATCACTGTTTCCACAAAAATATTAAGTGCTTTCAACATTGATAATCATTTCACAATATTACTGCTTTTACTGTATTTTGATCAAATCAATGCAGCCCTTGGTGAGCATATCAGACTTATTTAAAAAGAAACATTAAATAATCTTTCCATCCCCAAACTGTTGAAAGGTATAGCATTGAA